AGACTAAAACATGCAATAATAAGCTACTTTGGCTCTGGATGAGAAGATTTGCTTCCTCTGTTGTATGCTCCGATATAATGAGATGAAATAGAGCTATCCAACTTTGGAGATCACACAAACGATTTCATTTAATTCATCTCCTCCTCCAGTTTTTCTCCACTAATAACTGTGTGCAAAACAAGTTAAATCAAAAGTTAGATACTGTGGCATGAAAAAGTGAGTGAACCCTGTGGAATTGCCTCAGTTTATGTCTACATTTGCCTTAAAATGTGGTCCAATCTTCATCTGAGTTACACATAATAACAAACACAATCTATTTTCGCTAATAACACTAAAATCATTGTATTGTTCTTGTCCATGAATTCACTGTCCATGAGTTTCCTTCGGGCATTCACAGTGCTGGTTGCAAAAGTAGACTAATGACATCAACAAGAGCTAACTGGAGCAAGCCTGAGGTTCAATCAATGAAACTAATTGGAGGTGTGGGTTAGAGCTACTTTAACCTATAGAAATCATTCAAACAGGAAACATCTGCCGATGTGAACTAAACAAAAGATCTCGGAAGAGTTACAATCAAGAATTGATCAGACTGGGTTACAAGGTATTGGGTTTAGTCCGCCGTTAGATGGCTACAAAAGTACAAGGCAGAATGCTCAGGGATTCCTTATAGCAATTAAAGGCTTGATAGAATTACTGTGGCTGGTAAACATCTCTGTTCATGTGTCTGCTTTACAAAGATAATGATGCACTGCTGAATGGTTGCATCCTGACCATGCCCTCTAAAAAACACACATCACTTTGCACCTGAAATTTGCATGAGCTAGAGCACCTTTACACTATACAACACAACTGGGAAAATATTTTATGAACCAATAAAAAAAAGGCCTTTGCATGCCAACATGAAAATGTCATCCCAGCAGCCGATGAAGTCTCATGATTTGGGGCTCCTTTGCTACCTCTGGGTTTGGACAGCTTGCTGACGTCAAGGAGGAAATTAATTCCCAAGTTGAACTCTGTGCAGGAGTAGTGACAGACTGGCCGGATTAAGAGAAGAGGTATAAAGTGTGCACTCCAGAGCTCTATACGGGAAATTATGACTGAATAAATCTCTCATGTTTTATGTGCCTGTGTGCCTGTGTGGACACTAACACAAAGTGTCACAGCTACAGGTGCACAAACAACAAATATCAGAAATAAGTGAAGACCAGATGCACATTAAAAGAATATTTCTGGCAGAAAGTTAGATCAATAACACTCTCATATCTGTCTGTTAAATACAGCCAACTGTCCACTATCAGAACTCAGGGCAGGCTTGAGGTAGTGGAAGGTGGAACAAACCTTTCCAGAAATGGTGCCCTACTTGGACCTTTCAGGCTTTCTTTTTAGACTGCAGTGTAGGATACAACAACTTTGACCGTAACCTTAACATGAGTACACCAAATGAAAGGACAAATAGTTGTTATTGGCTATGACTCTTTGACTTTATGACTCTCTTTGAGCACATAGAAAACAAAACTCCCAAAATCAGCCCCGAAAGAAGGTTCAGGTGATCTACAGTCTGCACCTGGGGTCCTGTCTGCTGTGGTAAAACCCTGCCTTCTGTCTTCTGCTGCCTTCTTCTTTGAGAAGATCTGACTGAGGGGATTCAGGCTTATGCCAAGCAGCAGCGCGGACAGTACATCACCTTGTTATATGTCATAGTTAATGGTGACTTGTGTGAAGGCCTTGGACTTGGATTCTGGTGTTGTTTTCCAGCTGCATTCAGTTCTTGATGAATTTATTATTGTCCTGTTTCTCTTGTATAGTACCAGGCTCTCAAGTGTCCATGTGAGGGGCATTGAGTCGAAGGCTTTCTTCAGTCAATCCTGGCGCTTGTCAGGATGGTCTGCCTGGTCTTAGAGTCTTGGATTACTGATCTGTCTGATGCCTGAGAGGAGCTACCAGGTTGTGGAGAGGCAGGTTATTGATGGAAGTTTGAAGATGATCTTCCAGTCAGTAGGACTGGATCATGTCAGGTCCTGGTTTTGTCCAGCTCTTTGTTCATGATACTTGTTGTTGGATGTTTGCCTTATTGACGGAGACTGGTTGTTGATAAGGGAAGTTGCTGTGGTTTCCTCTTAGGTCCATCAGCCCCCTGGCATTGGTATTGTGTGATGCCTCTTTCTCCCAGATGTCCTTCCAGGACCTCTCAGTCTCAGCTCTCGGTGGACGTGTCCTTGTGCAGTTGTTCCCTTGCAGCTGGTAGTACACTCTCAGTGGATCATTCAATAGCAGGTCATTCCCTGCTTTAGCCTCCGCCACTCTCTTGTACTTCTGAAACATATTTGACTATCTCAAGAGCCTCGATTATGGACATGTTCTTGTACTTCTTTATCTAGGGTCTGTCTGTCTGTCATGAACCTTTTCTGCACTTCTGTTGCCCGACTAAAGTCCCTCTGGACTTCCTTGATCTTGGCTTCTCATCTTGTCCCCCATGGGGGTCCCACTCGTCATGTTGTGTTCTTGATCTTACACCCAATTGTCTCCAGAGTTTCTGTTGCTGTGGCACACACAAGTTAATTGGTTTCCACGATGGTATAGTAGTAGAGATAGTAGTAGAGCTATGGTAACATCTTCAAGCATCTCTTCTGATGGGACTTCTTCAATGAGCCGGAGTGGTTGTATCCAGGAGTTGACTCTGTTTAGTCTGTCCACAGTCTTCATCCTCTGGTTGGTGGATTCCAGTGTCATGACTGGTGGTTGGGAGTCAACTGATTGTTCAGCAGTCTCTCCCCTGCAGGGATCAGCTCATTATCTACATGGCATTCCCATTCTGTTGGAGCCTTTTTGTTCCAATTGTGACAGTAGTCTTGATGTTGGAGCATCAAGAAGAAGCTACCAGCTGCTTCTTGGTCAGTGTGGAGGTGGGTCACCTACCCACCTATAGGTCATATATGTGGTGCATGTAGTCTCTTACTCTGGGCCTGCTGTTGTAGTAGCATCTCATCAATACCGTATTCTCACCACTTGTCCATCTATGTCTTGTTATAGTAGCCAGCTTCTCAGCATGTTCCAATTGTAGCCTCAGACATATGCCATGTTTTTCCAAAACATTGTGTTACTGATGTTGTTAGGAAACCCTCTAAGTACAGAAGTCAACAACCCACAGATGTGTATTGTTATAGTCCAGTACATAACTACTGATGATGAAGTCTCATTTCAGGAACTGCGGTTTTATCACCTCTCAAGTTTCTGGTCTTCCCCCTCTGTGGAGAATTGCTACATTAAAATTTAAGAATATCTTGATGGTCCTCTTACACACCATGAATGATTTTTTTTTCTGATTGCTTCAGACTGACCCAGTTAAAGCAGTGAATTTTTTAATGCAGGGATATTATTTCACAATGCAGACCACTGCGGTGCCAAAGGGAAAGGCACATTTGGCCAGAAATGTAAAAAAAAAAAAAATGAAACTGTCCACTGCCTCCAGGCAAATATTATTTTCCCCCCAAAATACTTAACACATCCTCTGGGTTCAGGATAAGGCCATGTATGATCAATGTAGCCAGTGACTGAGAGTGTCACTACAAATTATAGCAGAGTGGCCAAACTGGCAAAGCAAGCCGCTCTCATATGCTTTAATGCTGCTTTTCTCCTCTTGCTGTTGTTCTGGTTCCCAAATTTACGAGGTCGTGTCCGGCAGCAAGGAGGTGACTGAAATAACCGTCGCATGCTATTGATGAAGGGGGAAAAAAGGAAGGTGCTGGAAAATACCCAGCACTGTGAAATGGACAGAATTTATAAATTAACATGAAATGAGAGAGATTATTACTATACGTCCAGTTTTCCTTTTCGTATCAATGTTGAGGTGAAATATGTTCTCACACTTCCTGTTTACATGAAAGTGCCGAATCAACAATCTATCTAACAATCTAAAAATACTTTATTAGTAGAAAAAATCTTGAATTTACAATCCTGCTTAAGTCAATTATTGCTAAAATGTACTAAAGAGTCAAAAGCAAAAGTAAAAAAAATCTCTTTGACTGACTCACTTGTTAGATATGACATTCAATTGTAATAAATTACAGCGTTTTTGACATTTAGGACTGAACATTGTTGTCACATGAGAAAAACCTGACTGACCTATGGACCTATTAAAACTCATTATCATGTAGCCTGTGTATTTAGTTTATTTGTAAATTCTTTGTAGCATCATTTTTAGAGCTCACAAGTTGCATCATGGGTGTGGACCGTCTTTTCCAGCATTTGTTCAGTCTCTGATAGACTTAGTCTGACTTTATTAATCCCAGATGGAAATTCAGGATGATGATGTCATCAATAGAGTTGCAACAATTAATCTATTAGTTGTTAATATTTTATGGCTTCTTTACTCTACAACTAAACAGACTTGGATTTTGGACTGAAGAAGACATATGAGGACATCTTCTGTAGATAGACATTTCTTATCATTTTCTGAAATCTATAGTTCAAAATGCAATCTTATGATTAATTGATTCCCTTTTTTTATGGATTATTTGAGAAAATAATTCCCAACAATGAAAGTAACTGTTAGTTGCACCCCTAGTGAAGTGATGGTTGCCCTTGTGCACATGTTTTTATGTTGTATTTTTTATTGAATATATTTTTACAGTGGCTGTGGGGAAACCACTGAAGGAAAAGACAGTGTACTTAATTAAACTGACAGACGCAGACGAAGCTGCATGTTTCGGGCTGCAGCCTACAGGTCGTCTCCTTTTAAAGACCTGACTGCAGTTGATCCCTGGCTCCCATATTGAAGTAATCCGATAGCTGCTTGTTGCCAGTGACGGAGAGTCAAGTCTTGCCAACTCCAGCCGGCAAACATCCTTCCGATCCTGCAGAACATCGGCCGAAACCTGCTCCTTCTTCTTCTTCTTCTGTGCGCCTTGACCGCAATGAGCAGCACCTTGGTGCAGGCAGGACGCATGAAACAGCTCCCGGGCTCCGTCTAACCAGAAGAAAACCTCCTGATCTCAGCAGATATGAGGCATTTATTGGCGCTGTGGATGGGAACTGTGCTGCAGTTTTGTCATGCAACGATTTACACCAACTACTGGGCCGTAAACATAAGAGGAGACCTTGAGTCTGTGAACAGGATAGCTGAGAAATATGGATTTACCAATGTGGGTCAGGTGAGTGCACTGAGACATGAAGACACCAACACATCAAGCATTTTATTTTTTGTTTTTGAACTGTTGATCTGACTTGTTAAAGTTCTTAATAGACTGAGTTAATTGTCAGGCTGTTAATGTTGAGCAGGGCCACAGGGATGCATACGGTGTAGGCCTGTAGAGAAACATAACTCTACATTAGGCCACATCTCATTGAATTTACAACAAAACGAACATCACAAAAACAAATGAAGCCCAAATGTAATATAAGTTATGATCATTGTTGCAAAATCTTGTGTCGAATACTTACTCACTATTGCAATATTGTTTTAATCAGAGAAATGTCCCATTTAGCTAATTACCAGACTGTCACTTGTGCAATGTCATGTTAAACAATATATTTTAAAAATACCTTTTATTAGGAGGTTTTAGAAGTGCACTAAATGATCATTGCATCTGCAGTTCACTGTGAGCCATCTGCTTGGAAAAATAAAAAAAAATCCAGTTTAATTTCAATTCAAGACTGGAGAAAATAGCTAAAAAATAATTGCTGTTATAGCTGCACTGGATGATTATGATAAAAGTCCAAGCTGAGGTAGGAGTGAAAGTTATTGCAAAAATGGAGTTAAAATGTTTAATTTAATTGTATAGACTTCAATTTCTCCAAAACATCGTCCTGGAGTTTTACTTTTGTGGCATCCAGAAAGACTCTTTATATCAGAAGTCAGCAGCTGCTCATCAACCCCAGGGGGCACTTCTGCTGTAGCCAGGGGGTAAGTAGAAAGATTAGCTCAACTCATCTGAGGAAAACAGAAATTGCGATTTAATTAAAAAAAACTGAGCAATCCTGAACAGGTTTGAGAAGGGAAAAAATAACAGCTGACTAAAAGTATAACGGTCGAGAAAGAGAAACGGGCTGTCAAAATAAATATATAAAAGTGTGTAAAAAAAAAAAAAAAAGTGGCTAACAGATGAAATTGTTAGTTAATGGATTTTAACGGTTTGGTTACAGTCTGCTAGTTTGTTTGATTTGTTAGCTAAAGGTTTGCGAAAACAGTTGAATTAGTTAGCAGTAGTCTATAGATATAAGAACTCCAAATGTTAATTAACTAAACTGTTTAAATAGTTAAAATTAGCAATTAGTAAATGTAAATTGTCAGCTAAAAATATGGCTAGCTTTTGACATTGTGAGCTAGCAGTACGAACAGTTGAAACTTCAGCTAGCAGTGTGGCTAATTAGCTAAATTAGCTACACAAAATTACAAATAGAATACTGGGAATTGTTAGCTAACAATATGGATTAACTATTAAAACAGATAAAAGTTGAATGTGATGGAAATATGTGAAAATAGATAGCCTAAACTTAAATAATAATAATAATAATAACAATAATAACAACAACAATAATAATAATAATAATAATAATAATGTGAATAATTATATGTATAGTAGAAATGCAAAAAATGAACAACAGAACAATGATTACAACAAAAAGACACAAAAATGCAAAATGTAAAAGTCAGTATTAATAAACACAAGTAAAATAATTAAAGAAATTAAAGTCAGAAACATTTTTAACAACAACTGTGGAGCCAAAGTGCTTTCCAGTAGATAAAAAAATACAAATTCATCTGACTAAATTAAACATTAAGGTTATAACCCTACAATATTATTGATAATGCCACACTGACAGTACTGGATGAAAAAGTAGTTTATCCAATTTTACACAATTAAACATTAAATTAGATCCAATTCAAACACGTTTGAACAGAAGCGCTGGTGTTGATGACGGCGCTCTGGAGTCCGTCTGACAGGCCTGTGGGGGGTTCGTCAGATAAAACAGGTTGGAAACCGCTGATCTGCAGTACAGACCTGTCAGGAACAGTGGTCCGGTGAGAGGATACGAAGCTGCCAAAAAATCCCAATTTGCCTTCTCATTTCTTACCTTCACTCCATTATTCCACACTTGACTGTGTAACATTGATTTTCAGTTAACGGTTAAACCACAACCAACCGAGATTTAGTACTTCAGTGCTGCTTTAATCAAGGTTGCGAGGCTTGTCAATAGACCCGCAGAATTGTCAAATAAATACATAAATAAAACCCAGTTATGGAGCTCAGGCCAGTAAAACTCAACATAAACTCCCTCAGGATAGCTGCTGTGTAGTAATGAAAATTGCAGGCCTCGTGTCCACTGCAGGTAATATGAAGCAGAAAAACAGAAAGATGTGGTTACTTTACAATGGAAATAAAGAACAAAACCCACTTTACAACACAGCCACCAAGGAATAAATTAAACCCATAATTTATTTCTGTCACTGTAAACAGCCAACCAATGGTGCTTTATTATGAATTACTTATTGCTCTCCTGCATTAGAAAGAACACAAATGACATCATGTTGTTAATGCAGACACATGTGAATGTCCAAGGCCCCCACACATGAGCAGCAGCAGTGTGGCTGAAGTCCTGTGGCTCAGGTTGCCTTTACCTGAAAAACTATCACGGGTGTAAGGTAGCCGCTTTAATGAAAGACGCCAAAAAGCGGATCCATAATTTAACACCTGTTTAGTACAGAGACGGCTGGCGATGAGCGGCACACCTCCACCTGAAAACAAATTCATTTAAGAGGATTTTCACGTCTGTTTCGCGCAGATTGGAGACCTGAAGAGTTATTACAGTTTTCGGCACCGGGAGACGGCCAATCGGTCCGCTGTGTGCAACAAAGAAGTCACTGTTCGCGTCGCCAAGGAGACCAAGGTATAGTAATGGGATATGAGGAGAGCTGGAAGACTCTGCTGGATTATTAATCAGCAGCATGTCCACTCCCTACCTCCATATACGCATAAGCGCACACACACACACACCAGTGTACTGTTGCCTCCCCTCACATCAGGCCTGACGCACTCGTACACCCACGAAACCTAAAGATGCCAAGAGGCGTTAAAGAGCAATAAAACTGCCAAGTGCACGCTACAGTTAGAAGATAGCTGCAGTTATTCGAGATTGTATCATATTATTGTGTTTGGGGCAATTACTATTGATAATAAAGTTAATTTCACTCGGCCCTTGTAGAAGGAAGGGTGTTGGATAGTGAGACAGGTTGTAAGTATACCCCGAAGGTGCTTAGATTATAGTTATTAGGAACAGGAAAGAAAAGCAAGTAAAATTATTTAAATCAATCATTGGTAAAGTTTGAACTAATCATAGTTGTGTTCCAGTTCAGTATTAAACCCTCTGAACTCCAAGCCGTTTCTGTGTGTGGGTTTTTGCTTCTCACATGCTTTTTACTTCCTGTGGATCATTTTTACCTGCGATTTAAAGTTCTGTACCTCAGTGGAAACAATACAACCAGGGCTTGCAGGAGAGACAACCCAAAAATGTTGTTTGTTCAGTGTAGCAAAAGCATAATGTCATTTATTATAAAAAAGCAGGAAGAGGCGCCCCTGTAGCTCACATAGAGCTGGTGACCCATAAACAGGGGCTGTAGTTCTACAGTGGTCGTGGGTTCAACTCCCGCTCACGACCCTTTGCTGCAGATCTCTCCCCATCCTTTTCCTGTCTATTGCTACTGCTTTAAAATAAAGGCAAAAGCCCAAAAAATCTGTTTAAAAACACTAAAAAAAAAAAAAAAGAAAAAGAAAAAGAACAGGGGCTGCAAGGTGGTTCAGTGGTTAGCACTGTTGCCTCGCAGCTAGAAGGTCGCCAGTTCACATCCCAGTGAGGACACCCAGGATTTTTCTGCATGAAGTTTGCATGTTCTCCCCGTGCAGCGTGGGTTCTCTCCGGGTTCTCCAGCTTCCTCCCAAACAGTCCAAAAACATGTTGAGGTTAATTGGTGATTCTAAATTGTCCGTAGGTGTGAATGTGAGTGTTCTTGGTTGTCTGTCTCTAAGTGTAGCCCTGTGATAGACTGGTGACCTGTCCAGGGTGTCCCCTGCCTTCACCCTAAGTCAGCTGGGATAGACTCCAGCCCCCCATGACCCCAGTGTGGATTAAGCGGTGTATAGATAATGGATGGATAGATTTTAACACCACTTCCTTTTCCCTCCACCATACTTGTCTCATATCTGCACTTCATCAGAGTTGAGCCGAGTCATGTGATCCCAGAAACATGCTATTTGATATTTCATGCAAAACCACAAATGTCAGCCTCATGGTGGCGCAAGAGGCGAAGCTTGTTAATTTAGAGGCCAGATTATTTCAGAAACATGAACGTATTTACCACATACCTGTTGATCCAGTTTGAATAAGTAAACATTAAACCCAGTGATTATGAAAGAAGCTACTTGAGAAGCTACTGAAATGTTTCATACCACACCTAAAAACCCTTCTACATGAATATAAATACTCTGTGTTCCTTTGGAGGTGGAGTGGCTCGAGCAGCAGGTGGTCCACAGAAGAACAAAGAGGGACTCCAAACACCTTGTTGCCGCCCATCACCAGCCCAGCCACGCCCAGACACTGTACTTCAACGACCCAGCGTGGAACAGCCTGTGGTACATCGTGAGTCACTTTTTTTTTTTTTTCCTTCGCTAAGCTCAAGTCTGGAACACAGACACATAAACCCAGGCAGAAAGAGCCGAAAATAGACCCTGATTTATTCTTCACTCCTAAGGGCTAAGTTGGATGTCCCACTATTTGCTCCACAGCACTGCAGCGATGAGTCCGACGGCTGCCAGTCTCACATGAACATCGCAGGGGCCTGGAGGAGAGGGTTTACTGGGAAGGGTGTGGTGGTGTCTGTCCTAGATGATGGCATTGAGAGAGAGCATCCGGATCTGAAGCCAAATTATGTAAGTGCCCTGGGATGGGACGCTCTTCTCAGGAAGGGGACATTAATCATAAGCAATTTGGCAGAGCTCTTAGTGTAAGAGCGTGGAGCTGAGACAGATATTGCAGGCAGAGCTTTTGGGCCAAAGGTTTGGAAAGGCCAGCTAAGAGTATTGGAATGGACATTAAACGTCTGATCCACTTAACTGTCGAGTGGACCGGTGAATAATGCGCTTTGTGATTTGTCTGATGAAACAGAGACAGATAGCTGCTGGCATCCTGTTATGTGCTGCTACTTACTATCCATCTGATTTAGGATCCTCTTGCCAGCTATGATATGAACGGACAAGACCCAGATCCTTCTGTGAATTACTCCAACAATGCTGCTAACTAGTGAGTACTTCTCGTTCCTAGATATCTCCTTGCACCTGCTTTGCAGCTTCTCCATCATGATTCCGGCTGTAATTAATGCATGCTTCTTCTTTCCATTTTTCAGTAATTACATGCATATATGGATATGCAAATTCCCCAGTCTGAATTCTGCCTTCTCACTGGTTTGATGTAACGGAAATAGTCTTCTCCTCATGCATATGCATCTAACCTCATGTTATGATGTTCTCCTCCTTTCTCTGAAGCCATGGGACTCTGTGTGCAGGGATGGTTGCGGCAGCTGCGAATAACTCTCACTGCACGGTTGGAGTTTCTTACCATGCACGGATAGGCGGTGAGTCCAAGTGGTGGCATGAAGCTGGCACGCTGAAGGACTTCTGGAGGTCGCAGTGTCGTCTGTAGTGGACTCAAACGGTATCATTTCTCTTCTTCCACCTTTGCCTGCAGGCATCCGGATGCTGGACGGAGATGTGACGGACATTGTGGAAGCTGAATCACTGAGCTTCAGGCCACAATATATCGATATTTACTTCGCTGGCTGGGGGCCAGAAGATGATGGGGCCACTCTCGAAGGACCTGGGCCTCTGACTCGTCTTGTTTTACAGAACGGCATTCAAACAGTAAGAGAAGTGTGAAAGAGAAAGGCTTGTGAGCTGTATTCATGTGTTTGTTTGTGTCTGTGTCCTACCTGCGGCTGTATATCTACTTAAAGGGTTTATCTCTTTCTCTTCAACAATGTGTAAATATCATTAATAAATTAATCACATCTGTTCGATTCCCCAATCTCAGGGCCGGCATGGCAGAGGCTCTGTTTTCGTTTGGGCGTCGGGGAACGGAGGGCGAAGAGGTGACCACTGTTCCTGCGATGGCTACAGCAGCAGTATCTACACTATCTCTATCAGCAGCAGCACTCGGCGTGGAAGCCAGCCAGATTACCTGGAGCGGTGCTGCTCCACGCTGGCAGCAGCTTACAGCGGTGGGGAGACAGAGGAGATGGTGAGTGTAGACTGTGAGAAACATAAGGAACTTCCCCAGTGTGGTGGGAAAGGGCCAGAAGATATACACAGGCCTTTATGTGCTGAGATGTGTCTGTATGAGTAATGGTTCATGTCATTCACTGAGAACATTATCTAAATCCACAAAGTAGCGCTGCCCTTCCTCAATCACCAGTTACAACCCCTCTCTTTGCTACAATCAATCCATTAAGAGGAGCTTTACCCACATGTTAAAGAAAACATTTTCTCACTTGAGGCCAAAACTACATTGTAAAAACACTCATTTATATTCTTTTGGCACAAATAAATACAAGTTGTTAGGCCTTAGAAACCCAATTTATCAGCACTTACAGTAAAAAAAAAATTAAATGGTGCCAACAAATCATATTAGTCTTTTGCTTCAACAAAAGCGAGTCAAATCCCAATCTGTGATTTATTACGGAGCGAGAAACTCTGTTAACCCTGCATTCATTAGGCGGAGGCTGGAAAACACAATTTTACTCAGTGTTTATTTTGTCCTTGCACTATAAAATCTCTTAATAAGTACATTAAAAAAATCCTTTAATAATAACTCAGTGTGGATGAGGCAAATTAGGTTACTTAGAAACATTGCTCATATACTTCCCAGCATGCATTGCTTTGAGGTTAAAACTCTCCAGCAATCCCTCTTTTTCTCTGAAATAAAAACAGAAGCTGTAACGTTTCTTTATACATTTGTCTCAAATGAGTTTCTCTGTTGTTAAAAATTAAACAAACAAGCCATGATGAAGACAGGTCTGTGCTTCAGACACTTTCTGATTCTATATTGTGAACATTGTTGTCACTGCTGGCAGCACAACACATATGGATGAGAGATGAAACTTAACCCATCCATCCATCCATTATCTATACACCGCTTAATCCTCACTAGGGTCACGGGGGGCTGGAGTCTATCCCAGCCGACTCAGGGCGAAGGCAGGGGACACCCTGGACAGGTCACCAGTCTATTACAGGGCTACACTTAGAGACAGACAACCAAGCACACTCACATTCACACCTACGGACAATTTAGAATCACCAATTAACCTCAGCATGTTTTTGGACTGTGTGGGAGGAAGCCAGAGAACCCGGAGAGAACCCACGCTGCACGGAGAGAACATGCAAACTCCACACAGAAAGACTCCGGTGCCCCCCACCGGGACACGAACCGGTGACCTTCTAGCTGTGAGGCAATAGTGCTAACCACTGAGCCACCTTGCAGCCCAAACCTAACCGAATAAAATGAAAAAATAACAACAAAAAAGTGCTTTCCAAGCTTATTTGTGAGCTGATATGGAGAATCACAGCTTGATTGTACTGATGGAGAATTAAAAATAGTTTTACTTCATTTGGGCTTTTTGATTTAAAACACAGATGCATAATTCCACAGCTGCTATAATGTCATTCAGGGCATTTCCTGGAAAGAAATCTGTAATTCTGAAATAATTCTAAGGACATCAGAAAAGAACTATCATTGGCTTTTACCTTTAAAGTCATTTTACCTTTTCTGAACATAGATGCAAGGAATGAAAATTTGTTTTATCTTACTGGTGTTCTTTTCTTTGAAGTTTTAGATGACACTCATTTCTTTTGATTGCAAAAGTCCGTCTATCCCTCAGCATTGCTGTGGCGATAGAGCAAGCAGAGAAGCCCAGACTTTCCTGGTGTCACTTTTTTTTTTTTGATGATGACATTCATAACCTAGCTTGAACTTTAAGAGATGTTTCAAGTCTGTAGGATTTAATATACACCGTTGTCTTGCCAGCTGCTTAAAGCCAGAAAATACACTTTTGGGAAATGAGTCGTAGGCTCGGGGGGAGCAGCGTAGGGGGCGAGCAAGCGACAACTTCTGCAGTTGAGTGTGATAGTCTGAGACACCTGTCAATCAAGCAAATACGCCCCAGACATACCGTCTATGAACTCTCCTCCTGGTAGAACAATAACTTTGAAATTCACAAGTCACAGGAGGGAGCTGCTAGTTAGAACCTGTAACCTCCTGTGGAAACATTATTCTGCGTTTCCCAGTTCACTTCAGGAGACTTTGAATAGTTTGGGAGCTTTATGTTTCTTTAGTCATTAGAAGATCTGCGATGTGAGACTTTGTCTTCATTAGTCATTCAGCAGTGTTATGCAAAGCTAGATGGTATGGGTGGATGGTATGTGCTTTTATGGAATACCTGTATACCGGCTTTTGTTTTCTTGCCTGATTGACTGGCATCAACGTTTATGTGCTTACAGTTACTGTACTGTTTGAAAACAGAGTCACTGAACAGGTTGCACAATAACTCCACACACCTATGTACGCCGTCTTGGAATGCAAGTCGTGTCTTTGTCGGGTAAAAAAAAAAAAATCCAGCTGTGATTGAAATGTCGTCTGTGTGAATGAATCTGTGGTTTGGAGCTGGAGGGTAGAAGATGGCAGACACCTCTCTCATGTCATGCAATTTGCAGGCGTCATGGGTAAACAGAGTTGGGTGGCTCATTAGAGTAAATTGGGTGAACACTGAGAGCCGCTCCTCTGGCCTCGGGCTTACGTGTCTTTCACTTGCGTTTTCTTTTGTCAGAATCTCACCTGACAACATACCAGCAACACAATCGTGCACACCTGGCAGTGCTCAACGATTTCATTGTCTGTTCTATTAACTTGATTTATTGTTAGCTTGATTAACCACCAGCCTCTTTGAATGATTTTGTGCGTACGTATCTAATAGTTAAACCAGGTTATAACAAATGGTAATCTGATTTGACCTTTTGAAAACAGACATGCGTGCTATCCTGGTTTACCAGACAATACATACTACATATTAATAAGAAAGCCAGTGGTAGGCCTACATGACAAGAATAAAAGAATAAGAACAGAAACACCAAATTAATTTCTAAATTAAATCTAAGTGTTCCAGTTGACTTTCTCTTGCTATTCCAGGAAATCAGCTGAGAAATAGTTTATGGATGAAATAACCAGTCAGTTTTTACTTTTTTCTGGAAATTAAATACCTGAATTTAAGATTTTGTTCGCATCAGTGCAAATTGCTATCAAAGTTCAGTATCTGTTGGATTGATTTACTGCAATATGAAATGCATACAAACAATATTGCAAAATCTTCAGAGAACAAACACACAATTCTGTGTCATGGCAGGTGAAGACCGTTGAATATTGCAAAACCAATAAGATGTGGTGTCCTTGACAGGTAACCTTGGGTCCGCAGCAGAGCTGTAGCAGGGCTCGGTCAGGGACGTCCCTCTCCTCCTCCATTGCTGCTGGTGTCATTGCTCTCACTTTGGAAGCCAAGTAAGCAGCTCCCAAACCCAAAATCTATACGTGTAGGCCATGTTAATATCAATAGATATAGTTGAGTCCTGAGACTGTGTTGTTTCTCCTTGGTATGACCTTTTTTTCAGTCCCTTGCTAACCTGGAGGGATGTGCAGCACATTATTGTCCGGACATCGAAAGCTCATCATCTCATTGCTCCTGACTGGCATGTTAATGGAGCCGGATATGAAGGTACACCCATCGGATCCCTCCTGAATTTCTAATTCCAACTGTTTGTTTCAATATCAGCCAGAAAATTAATAAAAATGGGACATCTTCTGGATGAAATCTTCTTGAAACTTATAATAAAAAGCATGGGCAAAGATGGGTTGAGCTTAATAAGCACATTTTGGTAAATGTTCTCTCAGCTCTTTTTAGGGAAACTATAAAGCAGTGCGCATACAAACTAATGAGCTCCTGTGAGCTGAACAACGATAAACGCCTACAAAGTCCCAGGAGTGTGTGAAGGCTTTTATAAACTACAATGCCTTCTATGCCCCGGCTAATGTGGTCTGTGCATGTGTTTGGGGATGTGCGGGTGTCTGTCAGTGAGCCACCTGTATGGCTTTGGCCTGCTGGATGCTGAGAGCATGGTGAAGGAGGCTGAGCGTTGGAAGCAAGTCCCCTCACAGCATGAGTGTGTGGAGGAGGCTGCCATCCAGCTGAGCAGGTATCACACCAACCACACTGCAAGAGATCTCCACTTTGAGTCAGGGCTTCCCTTGATTCCTCCCCTTTTATCGCACTTTATCTATTTCTGTCTCAGTTCTCACATGGATTTCTCTCACATTTATTCTCACACACTTTAATGGGTGTCATTTTCTTTACTGCTGCTCTCCTTGTAACTCTCTCTCGGTCTCCTTGTTTTCTGCCTCTTCTCTTATCTCGGCTGCTCGCCGTGTCTCTTTCTTCTTCTCCTCTCTCCGTCTCATGACAGAATTATTCATCTAGGCTCGGTGCTGACGTCTGTGTATGAGACTACAGGCTGTTCCAGCGAGGCCCTGCAGCACGTTGTTTATGTGGAGCATGTCGTTGTACGTGTTACCATCACTCACAGTCGTCGCGGCGACCTTTCCATTACACTCACATCACCTTCAGGCACCGTGTCACAGCTGCTAGCTAACAGGTAACTACGAGCATCGCTCCATCTAAGCTGCTATAGTGACCCTACATATTCACCTTGGGGTGGTTTCTATGTATGATAACCGAGGGGCATCATTTTTGTTCAGAGCACAGCATCCACTCCAGAGAGCTAAATTCTTCAGTTTGGCACGTTGTCTCATTAGGGGGGAAGAGTTTGGCAAACACTACTGTAAAAATCACAGGAGTGATGCTCATATGGTGTTTCAAGGGAACCAGTATCCAGGCAAGTTGCTGGCAAATTTGTTCCTGGCAATTATCTCTAACATGCAGTGTCTTCCTTTCAATAAACTGTGCAATTCCAAAAATACACCACAAATTAGCAGCAAGCAGGAGCCAAAATGTTGATAACTCTGTGATTTAAAGGTCCCATATGGTGAGAATCCATTTTTATTATTATGCTTTGTTGTTGTTAGAAACTTGGAGGTGTAAAATTAAACACGTTGAGATGTGAAGACCTTTAGTTTTGCCATTCCTCATGTTCCCCCCCACAACCAGACAGCCTCCCAGCTTTACAAGCCAGTAAGAATTTTACTGAACTGCTGCGTTCCAACTGAGAAACCAATAGCTGTCGATTGTAAACTTTACACAACCCTGCCCCCTCACTGCCTACTGGTTGCGAGGTGAGCCAGAGACGGTGGAAACTGATTAGAGACCAATAAACATAGACTGTTTGTGGGTTACTGTGTTTTCATGTGGTGCCTCAGTAAAACCTAAACACAGCTGTGTCAGTCCTTTAAAACTGCTTCTCTCCTGCCCTCTGTGCTCACATGTATTGCATTTTAACTCGTGCATGGTTTCAGGCAACGTTGTGGTTATAAAATTAGCAGTTCAGCAGTGCAATCAAAATGGCTGAAAGCGTCAGTTAACATGTGGTCGTGCTCTGTGTTTCAGCCATTATTTCTTACTCGCTACGTTGTCTGACAGCATGAGCAGAAAAATATTCAGCTGAATTAAAAACAGCAGCTATGAATTTGAAAATTAGAAGACGGGAAGAGGAAGAAGGGACCTTGAAAACACTCTGGAATGTAAGAAAGCCCGTTCCCTCAAATACTCCTCAGAAAAATGGTGTCATCTATTTTTACATTAACAGTGAGTGGAATTAGTGTGTCTAATGTGAAAGTGAGTACAGATAATTACCACATGACTATAACTGTAATCTATGGAGTGTTTTAGTGCCTTTTAGTCACTGTTTTGGTTTTCTGGCTTTTCAGCTTTACTGTTTTGGTTCACTCTCATCACTGTCATTGATATAATCTCTAGTATTGGTTTTCTGGCACCACTAACCCACCAGTCATGTGAAATATGACCCACTTGATGATTTGCTTACAGTAAAATGATTTATTTCAAACAGTGGGAGGTACTTTTACATCCCTTGACTGTCTCGTAGGCATCCACAACCTTTTTTTTCTTAAGGTCTTAGAGAAGTCTTTAAATCTTTTCAGGACACACATTTCAAGAGCAGAGAAAAAAAAAAGCTCAAATTCAGAGGTTCAAATGAGACAAGTTCCGTCTGCCGCTCGCTGGGGAGTTTCTAATCATCGGTACCTAATTTAATTTAATGGATTTGAAGGTGTGATAACAGCAGGGGTACTTACTTAGAATCTCACTTTTCTTTTCTTTTTTTTAACTTCTTAAACAAATGACACGTAAAATTGACATTTTTTTTTAAGTCATTTTCATAATTTGGGTTTATCACCTTTATCTGTGGGCACTGCTTTAGAGAGAATCAAGTGTTTGCTTTTTGAAATGATTTTAAAAATGGGCTGTACTGTACTTATTTTTTCAAGACTGGATAAGTGCCTGGCCCACATGGACTCACAAAACACCACAATACCCAGTTGCAGTTGTAATACATTTGTCAAACATAAGCAAGAACAAAACTTCTTACATCGCTTTGCAAACAAAGAGCTTTGTATCAAACCCAGGCTCTATAAATAAAACCAGCCACACAAAAGACTTTCCCTTCCTGAAACACGGCTCAAGTTTCTTATAATCATCCATCCAGAAGAACTCGTTAGAAATTAAGGACATTTTACTAAATAATGTCTGCCTTAAATTACCATATAATGAGGAGTAGTAGTAGCAGCAGCAGTATAATCAAGATTATGTAATGTTGTGGTTTAGGCCTCTTGACGACTCTACAGAGGGATTTCAGAACTGGGAATTCATGACAGCTCACTGCTGGGGGGAGCAGGCCGCAGGGGAATGGACTTTGAAAATCCAGGATACTCCTTCTCAGGAAAGAGACAGCACTGAACTAGGTCTGCGCTTCCTCTTTGTAACATCTCAATATTATGAAACACACATTGAACTTCAGCTACAAGCAGCCAAAATACAGTGCAGGCCTCTCGGGACAAACCTCTTATCTTTCTTTCTGTTGTTTCAAAGGGGCGCTGAGGACATGGTCCCTGGTGATTTATGGCACGGCAGAGCAACCGTATCCCGTGCATCGTGAGCGAGCCCGATCAGCTGAGATTCCCATGGATAGTGATCTCACTGAAGACTACAGCGGTGAGTCATATACTTCGCATCTTGGTGGGATTAAGCGCTCCCTTGCTCTAGCTCACGCTTTCTCAGGCTCTAATGCACTGATTTACAGTGTATGACTACTGAGGCGGGGTCTTACACAGATGCGGGATTAAAATCTGAATAACTTCTCTGTTTCTGTCATGATGGTGCTGTGACTTTGTGAGTATTTGCCCTTGCAGGACCCTGCGACCCAGAATGCAGTGACGATGGTTGTGAGGGGCCGGGCCCGCAGCAGTGTGTCACATGCTTGCACTTTTTTCTCAAGTTCAAGAACAACACAAGGTTAGCATGATTACACAGCGTAGAGTACAGTTAGAAAATCTGGAACGCAACATACAATATGTGTTGATGCTGCCACTAGAGCGTATGACTTACACATACTGCGATTGAAATAATCAGCTGGTGTTTAGTCCACATGTTTGTATATTATGCCAGATTATTGAATCTAGAATAATGTAAAGAATTAAGTATTAATGAGCAGCATTGATGGTGGTGAAAATGGACCCAAGATGTACGTTTTTCTCTCACTCGTCGTGATAGTTAAACCGCTCTTCCTCCATGTGCTTTGGTCCGTGTCTCTCCAATAGGTTGTGTGTATCAGAGTGTCCCAAGGGATCCTGGGGCGACCGCCGGCGTTGTAAGAGGTGCTACTCCTCCTGTGAGAGCTGCACTGGGAGTCGCAGTGACCAGTGCACCTCCTGTCAGCCTGGCCATCATCTGACCGAGGAAAAAAATACCTGCACAGCCATCTGCGGGGATAATTACTACCTCGACCACGGTTGGGTTCTTTAGCCAGTCTCTGAAGTTTCTAAGTGTTTTGTCACATTTTTTTCTAATTAAACTTAACAAGACAAGAGGAATATCCTTGAGCGTACCGTTAAGGATCCTTTGCTTACAGAGGAGCTGTTTGAATAGAGCTGCATATGAGGCTGCTAATGAATAGTCGGTTGATATAACTGCAGTTGAGAGGTGTGTGAGTAAGATTGATTAATGGCTCTGATGTGTATTCCATGTGTATTGTTTGATTTCCCCACAGATGCAAATATGTGCAGAAAGTGCAGCGAAAACTGCTTGAAGTGCACCTCCTACAGCATCTGCACAGAATGCAAACCAGACACAAGGTGAAACAAATTCTCTGATGATGCTTGAATTAACTGCTCGGTAAACACTGTTCCTTCTCCTCCAGCCACTGAGAATACTGATTCTCCCCGCGCGCGCACACCCTCTGCAGCATCAGAACAATTACAAAAAGCAACAGTATTTTTAACTCTGTATTCAAAACAGCGTGCCTGCCATCCCTCCCTTTTTACACACTGCTCAGAAAGAAAAGTGCATCTTAATTTCCATTTTGCAGAATCATCACTGGAGAGGACAAAACATCTCTGACAAATTCACCGTATTGTTCAGTTAGAAGTTTCCGGAATATGGTGTTCACTGACTCAGTTCACCAAGTGCTTGTGGTGGTGTGCTGTGGGTTGGAAAACCGAGCCTGCAGTCTGAAGGCAGTGACTCATCTTTATGGTGTCACATGATTGACTGAGTGTGTCACGGTGCCACATGCTCTCTCCACCCTCTCCAGCCTGTATGGGAACCGATGCCAGCGGAGCTGCGCGGCCGGATTCTACCATGACACACAGGATGGTGAATGCAAGCCCTGTCACCACGCCTGCGCTACCTGTGCAGGTGAGAGCGAGGTCAAGGGTCATGAGCTGAGCGCCAACTTCTTTAAATGTCATTAACATACACAACATTATTCTGTTGACGTTTGGAGTGCTACTTCACGTCCTGTCCTTTTAAGAGCATGTTTGTGTCTGCCTCACGCGGCATCAGGTCCAGGTGTCGAGGCGTGCAAACGCTGTTCTGAGGACTACTTGATGGAGGAGTGGAGGTGCGTGTCCTCCTGCAGTGCTGGCTTCTACGCCACAGAGCCAAACCCAGAGAAAGCTGATGGGCACAGGATATGTAGGAGGTGAGCTCACTGGTGTGTGTTCAGGTGTGGGTGGTTTGTTTATCTGCTGATGGCAGGCCTTATTCTGGTGGTTGGCTTCTGAGTGAGTTTGTGCTTGTTTTCGCGCTTGTGGTTGTTGTTGTGTGTCTGTATGTAGTGGAGAGTAGTTGTTTTTTATCTATGTGTGTTTCTTTTTTTTGTGGTCAGCATGTGTGTTTGTGTGTGCATTAGTTGAGTCTCTATGCTCTTCTTCTCAGGTGTGACGCCAGCTGTCTCACCTGTGTGGGGCCGAGTCGGGGGAACTGCAGCAGCTGTTCCAGCGGTCACGGCCTGCAGGAGGGAGTGTGTGTTGTGAACACTGTGTGCACAGACGGTCAGTCAACCATCTTCTTCCTCTATTACATGTTTGTTGAAAAAAAATAATACAACTTTCTGTCCCAATTGTTCTAACTTCTCCAGCAATTCTAATGTAAAAACATAATTACAGTATTTCTGTTTACTGAATAAATATCAAGTTTGTTGAGAGCACACAATCTATTTTTTATATATCTGCTATAAATATGTATATTTACAGCGAGCTATATATGTTATTATCTCTTTATTCTGGGTCATCTGATTCAACCGTAAGTCAGTCAGCCATGTTTATTTGCAAAAATGAATTGCATGGAGCTGTTTGGATTATATGTGCCTTCCCTTCTTTGGCATCTGACATTAAGCCCACCACTACGCCTCAGATGGTTATTCATATCTGAGTCAGCATGGTTTTCTTGTTGTCTGTCTGTCAGGAGAGTACCAGGACAGTAACGGGAAGTGCCACGCGTGTGATGCAACGTGTCTAAAGTGCACAGGGCCGCAAAGCGAAGACTGCATCAGCTGTGTTTCTTCACGGTGAGTTGGATGTGACTTTTTAGATTCGGGGGTCAGAGGGGAAATGAATGCATCTCACTGTTCCTCTGAGTAATAAATGATATTTCACTCTGGTGCAAGGTACCAAATAATGATATTCACAGATGTATTGGTCTTTAATTTGAAAGCAGCATGATGCTATTTCATTCTATGTAAATTAACAAGTTGTGCATGTTGCTGATTTCAGAGGTATTTCTAATTTTAAACAGAATGTGTATGCAATGCAAACAATTAGTGACTTTATTGATTATTTGATAATCGTCATGTATCACTGCAAACTGAATGTCTGTCAGTTTTGGCCGTGCAATCAAAAAAAAAGACATTTAAAGATGTCATCTGGTCTCTGGAAAGTTTCAGTATTTTTATTTTTTTTTACATCTTATAACAGCATATTTGATTGATTTAGAAAAAAAACAACACTGGCTAATTAGTAATGGAAATAATTGGAAGCTGACAGTCATGATAAACTACAAATGCACAGCCCACAGAAGTCTGACCTTTGGTTTTAATAATTCTTCTGAAATTACTTGTGTCACCCACTCAAGACTAAATATAAATAACGCATAAAATGGCCCATGGTCTTATGGTAAGTGCAAGATCATGCAAAAGTTTAAAAGTAAAAGAAGAATATTTTCAAAACAATGGCAGGAATAGCTTAATTCATCAGTTGACATCATGTAAATTGCAGAAAGGAGAAAAAACTTCAATCAATATTATGTGGAAAATCTTTGCCTTTTGAAACAACCCAAGTTCTCCTACTAACACTTTTGCACAATTTCTTAAAGTAGGTACTTTCCTCTGAGCATCTTGAGGAACTTGAAACAGCTCTTTGTGGATTCTGTCTGTCTCTGTGTTTTCTGTCTCCTCATATAATCCCAGTCTGACTCTATGATGATGAGATCAGGACTCTGTGGGGGTCAGACCATCTGTTGCAGGACTCCTCGTTCCTCTTGTGGCTGAAGATAGTTCTTTATGACTAGGCTGTATGTCTGATCTTGTTGTCATGTTGCAGTGATAATTTTGAACTGATCAGATGCCTCTCTTATTATACTGCATCATAGATCAAAGTATAGATGTCTATTATGTGAGACTTTCAGACATTGTTTTATATCAGCAGACTGATTAAACGGAACATTAATTTAAAAGAAATCAACAAAGCGTCTGAAAACTTCCACGTTGCCTCCCACTTTAACCAACTTCTCCGCCCCCCCTTTGTCAACACATGAAGCTACATCTGTGTAAATCTGCCACGTGGGACATGCCGGGATGAGACTCAGTTCGTCTCATTTACATCGACATAATTCACATGTTTTGGTTTTTGTGGTTTTGATGCTGCTGTCTTTGGCTGCAGGGCTCTGGATGAGGGCCGCTGTGTGGTGGCGTGTACCGAGGGCAAGTACCAGTCAGGTGGCCGGTGTCACCTGTGTGACCACACCTGTGCCACATGTGTGGATGCTGGGCCCGCCAACTGTACCGGCTGTGACACTGGTGAGGATGAAACAAGCTGATGATCCTGTGTGTGAGCATGTGTGTGGAACTTGTACTTTCAATATGTTAGCAGAGCAGCAACAATTAGTCAGTTAGTTGACAACTGTCTAATTAATCAGCCACTGTCTTGATAGGCAATTAATTGATTTGAGAAATTCTTTAAGGAAAAAAAGTCAAAATCCTCTGATTACAGCGTCCTACATTAGATTATTTTCTTGTTTCTTGAGAGTAAACTGAAGGTCTTTGGGATATGAACAAAATAAGACTTTAGAGTGTTATCTTTGGCTCTGGGAAACAACATGTTTCATAATTTTCTCATGTTTTATAGACAAAACCACTAATCGAGAAAATGATTAACAGATGAATAGCCACTGAAAATAATCATTATTTGTAACCCTATATGTATATTCTAACCCTATTTTTCACTCTCTCCTCTTCTGTGGTAAAATAAGTCAGAAAAATCACATAAGATGATTCAAATCCTGATTGAATACAATGACTTAGAACTGCATTGTCCTTTTACTTGTTTATTCAAGGGATTATTTCCATAAGTGGTCTGTTTCCTTCTCTTAAAAACATGATTAATGGCATCCTTTTTCAATTTACTGACAGATTACTCTTTGTGATTTTGACATCAGTTTTGCTATTTAGTACAATGAGGCCAAAATGTTAGTAAAATGAAGAGAGGAAGAGACACTGCCTCCGACCACATAACTGACAACAAGCAATATCTTAAGTTTTATCTTGATCAGTGTTGGGATTTGAGTGCACTAGTTTCTAACTGTGTGATGCAATGAGTTTTCAGAGTTTTTCCACTGAAGTAAGCTTCTGAAAATGATGCTCACTAGAGGCAGTGAATTGAGAATGATTTGTGGTGGGTTTGGCACCACAGGTGACCCATTTCACATTGCATATTTATTCATTATTCATTCATTTAGTCACATTTAAAATGTTCCTTATCAATTACTTATTTGCACTGTAGCCAAATGATGACCTGAATGATCTGTGCATTGCTCGAAGCTAATAGAATTTTAGGAAGTGTTCATGACTGCAAAATTGTGCAGCCAGAGCTCAATATTGCATTTCTTTGCACTGTGAATTGTTGTTTTCCCTTTAGATAAGTTTGGAATAGAGCGGTACCTTTATAAAGGCCTGTGTCTGGACGCCTGTCCTGACGCCTTCTACCACACCAAGGACAGGAGCTGTGAGCCCTGCTCGGCCCACTGCCAGCTCTGCACAAGCCCAAACCACTGCCTCCAGTGCAACTCCTCGTACTACGTCTCTGATGGAGGCTGTGCGAAGCTGGAGTGTGGGGAAGGTAAACAAGGTCACAGTGTTATTTATGAGATGGTTTTCCTGTATCTTTTTTGTGACAGTGTCAAATCTGACCTTGACGGGTGTTGTTTTTCACCTGTTCACCCTCTCCTCTCTCTCCTTTGTCTGACTGTCTCGCTGTGTCTCTCCTCCACACTCGGCCTCTTTTCTGTTTTGTCAGGGGAAGTGGAGGATCCAGATTACGACGACTGCATGCTCTGTGAGGAGGGCTGCAGGAAGTGTGTCTTGTGTAAGTCACGACTCAGTGGCCATAATAAAGTTTTCCCCAAATGAACGCTGCCTGCAGTAGACCAAGCTCTCCTCCCAGTGTGTTGTAGACCATGTTCAAAGATTTTTCCCGGTAGTTCTGTTTAAAAAGAGAGCTGAGTTTTTTGTCTGCTTTCAACAGATAACCCCAGGCATTGCCTGTCCTGCACTGAGGGCTTTTACAAGTAAGGCTGTGTGCCTCGCTGTCGCCATGTGTGATCTCGCCTCTCTGCACTCGCTCTGCCTTTCATTTCGCTGCTATACGAGAATGAAAAGGCCTCTTTCTGCAGTGAGAGTAGAGTGGATTTCTGTGTGTGTGAGGGAGAACTGCAGGTATCGACTGTTGCTTTTGTTATCAGTTTTCAGGATGGCTGCTACAAATACTGCCCAGCTAAGACGTACAGCATGGACGAGGAGATGACCTGCGTTCCATGTGACGACAACTGTTTGAGCTGTGATGAACATGAGTGCTACTGGTGTGAGACAGACCTCTTCTTATCAGGTAAAACTGCCCCACTGGGCAAAACATTAAGCTGTGAAGGATTATTTACAGGCATGGAGGTCCTGAATTATACAATCAGAAGGTACGAATATGCACAAGAGCCCCTGTCATCATGTTATGTCATGATGTATGGTATAATAGTGTTTTGTTAGAACTGATCATTGTTTGCTGTTTTTCATTTCCTTGTTTTGCATTAAGAAATGAAAAAGTAAAAACTAAAGCAGAAACTAATTAAAAGAACAGAACAAAAGGCGAGTAAGGAATGAGAGTCGATGAATTCATCAGAACAGATTTGCATTATGTGGCAACTTTAAGGCTGACTTTTCTGTTTCACTTGCAAGTAAATTTATTATGACTAAAAAAAAAACCCTGAAAATAATTTGCAGATTGTTATGCCACGCTTCCTCCTGCAGGCTCCTGTTAGTGCTGGTGTTATTTTTACCACTCATATTGGGGAAAAATAATTTGTGTCTTATTTTTCATCTGTGTTCTATCCAGGTGTTATCAGTGCAATGGAAATTTGGATGTTTTTTTCCATGTTCCATTCTCACATCCTCCAAACTCAGACTCTCATTATGATTGCATTTTTTTTTTTAGTTTGCATAGTAAACTGCCTTGTGCCATCGTGGAAAAAGAAGCGTAACGCTCCATTGCTCAAGCAGCATTTAAATGAATGAAGTAATTTTAACGACTTTCAATACTACTTTATGTTGGGTAATTGATGTGTGGCAGTATGTTGCACCTCAGACATTTGTATTTTTAGTATTAATCCTCCAAATTGTGTAATACCTGTAGCCATAGCCAGATTAAGCCACAAGATAACACACAAGTTTATACATGTATGTAGCATGACATCAACAGATCTAAGGTATCAACAAAGGCATTAACGCCTACTTTGGACAAAGGGCAGAAGCTACTGTAACTGATTATGATTAGCATTGATATTGTGTGTAGTGGTGCATGTCAACAAACAATTTGCAGTTGGAAGTGTCTGAGGTCCCTAAAGGTCTGTGGCTCCAGTTGCTAAGTTAGTAATGCAGCCTTGAATATAGCTACCGAAAAACTGCAGTAGAGTTGAAGTCTCTCTACAGTTGTTGATTAAACCTAATAAAAACTCAACTTGTAATATTGAAGCAGTTCAGTCATACATGTGCAGCATGGAAACTGGTTAATGATACAGAAAGTTCCATTCTGCCAGTTGACCAGACTGGTTCTTTGGGTTTGTTACATATGAAATCCCTGAAGGCCTAATATGTGTTTTTGAGACTGTCATCTGTACACTGCAGTAATCGGGTGGAAAGTCATTGCTCCAGATGTATCTTTCAGCATATAGAAAAACTCAGGCAGAAAAAACAAACTAGATTTTCCCTGGAGACGTTCTTTAGAATACAAAATGATGAGAAGAATTATGAAGCACTGTAATACAAAATGAAAGCATGATAAGAAACTTAGGCAATGCTTTTTTATTCACGACATTGCTCTTGGGCTGCAAGGTGGTTATCACCATTGCCTCGCAGCAAGAAGGTCGCCAGTTCGCGTCCCAGTGAGGACACCCGGGATCTTGGAGTTTGCATGTTCTCCCCGTGCAGCGTGGGCTTACTCCGGGTTCTCTGGCTTCCTTCCACACGGTCCAAAAACATGTTGAGGTTAATTGGTGATTCTAAATTGTCCATAGGTGTGAATGTGAGTGTGCTTGGTTGTCTGTCTCTAAGTGTAGCCCTGTGATAGACTGGTGACCTGTCCAGGTGAACCTGCCTTCACCTTAAGTCAGCTGGGATAGACTCCAGCCCCCCGCGACCCTCATGAGGATTAAGCGGTGTATAGATAATGGATGGACTTTGTTCTTCTTTGCACAATACAACTCAACCGGTGACAGTTCAGTCAGTCAGATTCAGATTTGTTAGCAGTCTTCAGGTCCAGCTGATGTATCAGGTTTCATGTAGCTTCATCTGGAGCATCTATACATCTATTTTCCCATATGCAGTAACTACTGTCAACAGACTTTAATACAAAACTGCCTTTAAGTTAAAGTAAAACAACCCAACATGGTAAACTTTACCAGCTAAGTGGGTTACATGCAATATTGATCTCAGGAAACCGAGAATCTTCTTCTCTTTTTTCCGCAGAGGGGAGGTGTGTTTCAGTGTGTCCCGACGGTTTCTATGGCGATGAAGACACCAACGACTGTAAGGAGTGTGACTCGGACTGCGTGACGTGCAGCGGGCCGGAGGACATAGACTGTCTGTCGTGTGAGGAGGGGAAGACGCTGGAAAACCAAGAGTGTGTGTCTGACCACGAGGCCTGTCCCATTAAGACCTTTCGCAGCGGTGAGACTAATACTTGTATTCCACTAATCCAACTGTCTGCCCATAATGAATCAGGGATTTGGGCACTTTCACAGGGGCAGAAAAGAAATCTTGAAGGGTAATTGGTCTGTGTGCCACCGTCCCTGAACCCTGTACCAACTTAAGTACTCAAAACAGAATGAATGTCGGACAGATACCGACTTTGAAATAATTGATTGTATATGCTGAACATTTTGTTCCCTCCTCGAATTAGTTGGACAGACCTTAAAACAACATATGGTAATTAGTGTGAGGCAAGACATCTTAATTATAGGAACTAAAATAACTCAGAGAAAAGCACATAGGTTAATACAAAGGTTGAAAATGAACACACTGAATAAAGTTATTCTTAGACTTCACCTTCATTTAAGCAGCAGCACAACCTTAGATTTAAGCCTCCAACCTTTACACACAATCTGTAATAGCACAACGTAGCTGACGGCAGTTGGTATTTAGTGTAATTATCGGTTGATTTAGATTGTGAAGAGTGAGTTTAAGTACTAATCTCAGTTGTTCGTTTCTAATTGCTGTTGTTGGAAGACATTTTGGGAAACACACATATCTTACCAAGAGTTTAAAAAAAAAAGATCAGTATCACTCTCACATCTGTAGGCGAAACATGAAGCTGCAGCAAGTTTAGTGCAGCATGAAGCCTGGAAGCAGGAGGGAACCGTTAGCTTCGCTCCGTCCAAAAAACAGCCTGGCAGCACCTTAGGCTCACTAATTATAAAGTTATATTTCATTTGTTTAATCTTAACATAAACCAAAATATGAAAAGGACAAGTAGGGGTTTTACGGGCGCATGTTGGAATTTTTTCTTGGCCCGGCTTTTCCCTTCTGTTTACAGTCTTTATCCAAAGCCAAGCTAAGATTAGCTGATAGTGTGCCAGTGCGCTTTATATTCAGCGTACAGACAGGAAACTGTTATCAATCCTCATCTAACTGTCAGCAAAGTGGTAAATGAGCGTATGTCCCGAAATGCTGAACTTTATGTTTGTTTACAGACAGGAAGTTCAGACAATAACAGAAAACAGAGGAGGAGCATCCAGGGTTGTTCCAAGTGTTTAGGCGATAAGGTTTGGAGAAGCTGAAATTATTTAAAGGAAATTGTAAGTTTGTGAAATTATTTCATATTGTTTTTGTTCAAAGTTGTGAGAGAAAGCTTAGTGCACCTACTCATTTCACCCATGATTCAATGTAAATGCATGTGATCCCCTGAACTTCAAGTTAACTTCAAGTCAAGGTGATGAGCTGAAATGTAGCCTAAATACCTTTAAAGACTGAAAAAAACTTTATTGCTCATGAAGGAAATTTGTGTGTCAGATATTTCTCAGAAAAAACTAAATAACATAACATGAGAATAAACACAGCACCTAGTAGAAGAGCAATCAGATATACTGTAGGTATAAATACTAAAACAAGTAAGCTTGAGGTGCTCCACAAAAATGAGGAAAAGAAAACGGTTTCTGTGATAGGAAACAACAGACATCAATAAGTCCAGTCTTTTGTGTTAATGAAACAGTTCCCTTTCCTCTGATTCAGGACCTTCATTATTCACAATATGACTAAACATTTCAGTCGCCTGGGCCTTCATAAAAATCTGCTCACTGAAATCATAAATAAACGCGGCTATTAGTTATCTGGACAGTTTGATGAGCTTGCTATTGGCTAAATTTAGTGTTTTGTTTATTAGTGCATTATTTTGTGTTATGTCACTTGATGTACTGTTCAATCTTGTGTGAATGACAAATTTTATGCCGAACTGTGGCTCTCTCTGTCTGCGTTGCAGGTATGTCTGAATGACGAACGTTAATATATAACTGACCTTTGTTTTAATGACAAGATGTCGTCAATTTATCAGATTGATGAAGCAGCAATGTTATGTATCACTGTGTCAGTACAGCGATATGTGCTGTGAAGGTCCTTCAGCTTTCCTCTGCTGTGTTGTGCTATAATAAGAAGTGGCTCTGTGGCCATCGCTGTGTTGTTCCCCTCCAGACGATGGAGCCTGTGAGGACTGCCACCCGTCCTGCGAGTCCTGCACCGGAGAGGAGAAGAACCAGTGTACACAATGCGCAAAAGGTCTGTCAGTCACTTATGTAGATGAGGTGTTTGCTTTCAGACCTGCAACAGCGGTTTGATATTTTCATGGTTACACCACATGAGCTCTTTTACAGCGATGTTTACTGTTTGTTGTTTCTCCTCCAGGGCGTTTTCTGACCGCACAGCAAACATGTGTATCCAAGTGTCCGGCGGGCTTCTTTGCCAGACGGCTGAGCGGTTTGTGTGAAGCGTGCCCTCCAGGCTGTTTGCAGTGTGTGGACGATCAGCGCTGCAGCCGCTGTCAGAACACTCGCAGGGCTCAACTTTTCCTGCAGGACGGACAGTGTGTTCAAGAGTGTGTCAGGTCAGAGGTCAATCCTATCGCCGTTTGTATTTTGGCGAAAATTGAAATTTGTTTGGATGGTTTACATAAATTATCATCACTAAGCTCTATAAGCTTTTTAACTTTTGCCCATGTGGGTTTTATTATGATCACATTTTACTATCATCTACCAAGCAGCGTTTTTTATCATTACTTAAGTTCCACACAATTGTCTGATTAAATTATCAGTTGTCCTCTGTATAGTGGAGCAGAGAGCAGAGCACAATGTCAGACCGCTTGTTTACCCCAACGGCATTCATTGCAGCCTATTAAATTATTCACATGCAAAAATACTAAATCTGCAGCCTGACATGTCTTACAAGGCCAACTAATCAATTAATTAAGACACTTAATACACCACAAGTTATTTCAATGTTGTTATATTACATGTACATTTGTGGTCTCAGTGGAATTTGTGTACATTATGCAGTCTGGATTAAGTGATGCAATTTCAGCAGAGTGAAGGCAAGACAAAGTGTACATGCATAAGTACGATGTACGGCTGTGTTTGTTTGTGTGTCTGCTTCAACAGGGGTTATCCTGCAGGCCAGGTGTGTCGTAGCTGTGCGCCCGGCTGTGCGTCCTGTGGGAGGAACGCCACCCACTGCCTCAGCTGTGACGAACCTCTCCTCCTACACAAGCACCAGTGCGTGGACGAGTGTCCTCCAGCGCACACTGTCCGGGACGGGGAGTGCCATCGCTGCCCCCCGGCCTGTGAGGAGTGCAGCCCACTTGGACAGTGCACCGGTACCCAAACACAATGCAAACGAGCACAAACCCGATTGTTAGAGCGCATTCAATTGTTGTGCTTTTAGTATTTCATTGTCCTCCTTTGGCAGCATTGTTATTACCAGTAGGTTTGGAGCTTTTTGTTTTTAGCACAGCTTTAAATATGGCAATGTCAGTCAGCTGGTTTGACCCAAACTGAAATACAACAGCAAGCATTACCCCCTACAGTGTATACAAATAACTTTTCATTTGTCCCGAGCGCCTCTTTTCCCTCTAGTGTCAACATCATTTTGGCATTTTGGGTTATTAATTGAAATGTTTTGATAATTGTGTGAATTCCCACAAAATGTGCTACAGGAATTCCCATTTGCCGCTGGAGGATTTGTAATATAACAGCTTGTGATCCTTGTAAGGTGCTTCTGAACAACATTTTTATAACCATGTATCAAAGACAGTGAGACAGGCTTATAGTGAAGAACCAACAGTAATTTAACACCAGCTGTCCTCAGCTTTACCAAGCTTTAGAGAGAGTTTCAGCTTGTTGTTAAGTCACTGTCACCACTTTGCAGGGTTTGTTAGTGAAAAAGCTCAATAACTGTGCAAACACAGTTACCGACTAGCTTACAGAACGGAGACTTTAGCTTCCAAAGAGCCAGATATTTCACCCAGGTGCTGGGGGAGACCAAAAGCGGAGTTTAAAAAAAAAAGAAAGGAGTGTTGAGCTTCTATTCACCTGAGGCCTGTAATACAGGGTTTTGGGGTGCGCAAGATAATTTTTCAAGACTCCAGCCATGTAAAAGTGCCAATCAGTTGTCTTGGAAAACGTTATAAGCATATTTTTTTCAAATTCCCTGATGCTTGCTGCACGTATAGTCACAGCGTACAAGTGCGACTTTTTAGAGACTTTCTAGACCCTTCGGTTTTCCCTGATAAGCATAAATGTGAGATAAAGGATATTGTCATTAATTACATTTTATATATATGAATTATATTAATATTCAAAGGAGAGGGAACTCTAGGTAGGTAACAATAAATCAGAGACTGATTAGAGCCCTGAAGTCTTTTACTTCTTGACCTTTGAAGATTTGCAGTAAGTCTACTCACCGGTTTGAATTATGTTTTTTTTATTTCTTATTAACTTGCTCCCTGGACCTTTCAACGCTGCCAGGGTTGCAGCTAAAAGAACACGCCAGCAGGATACATTCAAACAACAAGTTAATTCAAAGGAACACACAATTGTAATTATGGTCGTATCTATTCATGCCATGATGATGGGGCAGAGATATTGATAAGCCTATTAACTTCCACATTCAAACTGTTGGCTTTTTTTTTTTTGTTGCCATTTTTCCTTCCTGGCCTTGGCTGCAGCAGCTGTGTTGCTTTTAGCCTGTGTTATATTTTTAGTTTCCTCATATTGGTTAAGAATTTTAATTTGTTGTGAGAAATATGCAGCTTTACACCTGTCTGTGTTTGCAATTGGCCATCTGGTGCCATCACAGATTTCCTCGATATGTTAAACTCTTGTGGGTCAGAACTGTGACTCCAAGTAACTATATTATTGATGATGCTTTTCTTTGTCTATTAAATGCTTCTGCTACTGTTAGCATGTTCACCATGCCAACCCCACAGGTGATGACATGTCGATGTTGCGTTCCCGACTTGTTTCCACTGCTCACATGTGGCTGAAAGAAATCACTGTTTTAATTTTTCCTGCAGTACCAAGAGCAGGGAAAAAAATTATATAAGATTATTCAAAGATTGAGGCAGCCTCAGGGACTGAAAGTGAGGTCAACAAGGAATTGCCTTAAATCTGCAATCTTTCTAGCAGCCAGCAGGGGGCGACTCATCTGGCTGCAAAGTGAAGTGTGGTTGTGTCAAAGTTTAGGAGAAAATAACCTGACTTCTCACTTGATCTCTTACCTCAGTAAACATTTTTCTCATGAGTAAATGGTCGTAATTGCTAGTTTCAAGACTTTTAGAATACAGAATGGTGTTCATTTTGTAAATTATGGTCTCATTTAATAGAAAACAGGTGATAAAGCAGGGTATGCTTTACGCCGTGGCTAAAATATGATTGACAAGTTACTACCATATCGGTGTTTGTGGTGTCCTTGAGTTCTCAGGCAGATCCACACTTGCTTTTTGCTTTGATTTCAAACGGTAGTCAACAAACCAGTGGTCATAGTGGCTACATTAGTCTTTTATATACAATCTATGGTAGCTGCAAAACTAATGACATTCCCGTTAGCCTCAACCTGAACTTGGGTTTTACTATTTAGCAAATGTTTGCATGCTGACACTAAAATGTTCCAAATATCTGTATTTTAGCAACATCATTGTTAGCATATTAGCATGCTGATGCTACCATTTGTCTTAAGCTACACTATGCCTGCTTCTTCACATAGCATTTAGCATGGTTGCAGACTGGATTATCTGGCCTGGACTGGACTGGATTGGCCTTTTTCTTCAACATATCTGTCAAGTCAATTGTGTGGAGATGACAGAGTCGAAATTCTTTTTGTCAGCTACAGTTTTACACTTTGGCTGCAGTATTAGGATACAGGAACAGTGAGTGTGCTTGACATAATGCATAGCTTTCAACTCACCTGTCTCATTTTTCATTCATGCCTTGTCATTTTCTAACCAAGTGAAATCCATTCCTAACAGAGAGGACTTTTCTTGCGCTCACATTCCTTTTAAAGACTTTCAGGTACTTAGCATAGTTTCACCGAGTTGTAATAAATTGTTCCTCCATTTAGTTCAAAAGCTGCTCTTTGTGCAGGCTGTGAGGAGTATCACTTTCTCCTGGAGGGCCTGTGCGTGCTAGACTGTCCCGAGGGGTTCTTCGAGGACAAAGCGCTGGGGGAGTGTTTGCGTTGCCACCCCGACTGTGCTTTGTGTGACGGGCCGAACAGCAATGACTGTGATGCCTGTATGGACCGCGACGCCACCCTGCACAATGGGGCATGTCTGGAAGCCTGCGCCTCCCACGCATACAGGGACCCTATGACAGCAGACTGTAAAGGTACAACACTCATCACACAAGCAGGGAACATGCAGCACAGCTTTATCTGCTTTTTTTTCCACATTAATTTGAAATGATGGGCTGCAGGGGAGCATCACACAAGCAGGAAAACGCACATGTCTAATCAAGTTAATGAAAATGAACTTCTTTTTTATTACACACTAAGAACTCCCGCTCTTCCGAGTATGACAAAGTCAGTTCCATCGCTCCTGAAACTGATGCAATGTTTTCTGTCCTGTAGTGTGCCCTTCATGCATTTTCTCAATTATATTCTCTACTATGCCTGAGTGTGTTTCTTGACTTCGGCTCAGACTAAAATAGCAACGCTTTTCAGACGGTTAACAGGCAGCTGTCAAACCTTGAAAACAGCACAGCGATGCCAAAGACAGTTCCCTAGAGAAAGACACACCGCTCCGGTTTTGTTATTCAAAAACAAAGAGAATGGTGTGTTTCTCACAGTCAAATGTTGTAGGCGATGCCCGTTTTTGTTGCTGCTTAAAGTAGCTGCCAGCAGAAAGACATTAAAAGCCGAGTACGCTGCTGTGCTGCAAAACGGACAGCGTGATGATTTAGCTGTGGTAGATGTTGACACAGATGATACCTTGAGAACCCAATAGGTAGAAGCTACCAGGTAAGATGTGGTGGTGCAGTAAAAACATGGATGATTGTTACTGAGTAGCAATGATGAGAAGATGTCGAACTAAGAACTAATAATTCAAACCAAATGGGGAACCTTCAACATCTAGACGATGAGGCAGCTTCCTTCAGTAACCTTTCACCTGATCACTTTGTCAAAACATACCATATGTAGCCTTTGACCTGGGGAACCCCGTCACAAACCTTCAAAACTTGTGGGGTTGGGCCGCCGCTATAGCCCACCTGGTTGAGTTGGCGCCCCATGTACAGGGGCTATTGTCTCCGATGCAGCGGCCATGGGTTCAAATCCTGCTCATGGTCCTTTGCTGCAACCATTTCCTCCATTCTTCTACCCCACTTCCCTGTCTCTCTTTCAACTGTCCTATCCAATAAAGGCAAAAAGGCCAAAAAAATAATTTGTGGGATAGAATATCAGATACCACATGATTTTAATACCTGATGTGGTTATAGCTTATTTTCAGACATTGCTATATTAGATATCAGGTCTCGATGATAAAGTGTTGTAGGTGTGATTACATCCTTTGATTCAGTTAGTTTTTACTTGTATTTTCAGACTGTGATGCCTCGTGCCTCACGTGCTTCGGGCCTCACGCCGGCTCCTGCACCAGCTGCCAAGAGGGTCAGAAGCTGAACAACCTCAACCACTGTGTGCCGTCAGACAGCAAATGCTCGATCCACCAGTACACAGACCAGGACGGCGAATGCCATCCGTGTCACAAATACTGCCACAGGTGTTCAGGTCCTGGCAAAACCCACTGCCTGAGCTGCAGCCAGAGACATCTCCTGCTCAGTGAGTCAAGTTTGGTTTGCAGGGCTTGTGAATCCTCCGAAGGCTGCGTGTCCTGGAAAGCTCTCCGGGCATCTGCGACGTGTTTGCTTAGCCGCATGATCATGTGTGTTTGTTGGTACAGATGGTACCTGCGTGGATGAATGCCCAACAGGCTACTATGAGGACGACTCGGGGCAGAAATGTGAACCCTGCCACGCCGCCTGTCAGTCCTGTGTCGGAAAGCACAGCCACGAGTGCCTCACCTGCAAAACCCACCTATTTCGGGAGGGCAAGGAGTGCGTGGAGACCTGCCAGCACAGGTAGTTTAACCCGCTCGCCATCCAACTGTGCCGCTCATCCATCACTCTAAATGTGGTCACGCAGTGCTGTCATTAATAACAGATTATTCCAGTCACGTAATGTCACTGTGGACACTAAACCATAGCTCTTCTTCAGTTAGCTGGACAGGGGTGCAGTTTGGAGATACAAGCTAATTTAGCCTGAGATTTAAATAGCCCTTCATGCGGCCTGTAAAATACTAATTAGACTTGATTTTTTGGGGGGGCGGCACAGTAATTGAGAGAGTTAAATTAATGTGCCGTTAAATTGATGCGCAGTTAAATCCTGAAGAGAAAAGATAAACAGAGCTGCGTGCAAACAATGCAGCATTGCTCGGTAACATATGGAAATGTTAAGACTGTATTCCCTCAGTTATGTCTAAGTAGTTATGGCTGTGTGTGTGTGAAGGGTATTTCCTTTGAGGATGAACAAAGCTCTAATCTCATTTCATTTAATTGAATCTAATCTATCATAACTTTTGACCATCTGTCCACTAAGTCACTATGGAAACACTGCCTCAAGGCTGTGTGAGAAGTGTGACCCGAGTTGCGGTGAGTGTAACGGGGGCGGGGACGACGGCTGCCTGAACTGCGCACCGGGCCTCGTCTACTTGCGGAAAGAGGGCCGTTGCCTCCCCTCGTGCCCTCAGGGATACCATCACGACGCCGCGCACAGGACCTGCGAGCCCTGCTACGCCACCTGCAGAACGTGCACAGGTACAAGTGTCCACTCAGCACCGCTTTAATGTATTGCAGGTACGCACTCACGGATCTCATGTAGGTTATGAGATACTGATGATGCTGTTTTCTCCGCCGACTGCAGGTGTGGAAAGCTAGAAATGGTCCTAGAAATGTTTCACACAGCACAGGCTCAGGACTATTCCTCTTACAAAGGGACACTAGTTTAAAATATCTCACCTAAAACTAAAGAAGTTTGCTTACTGTCAACAGATTCCATGAATAAAACCCAAACAATGATGGTTTCTCAGCATTTCCCAGCATGTCTGTGGCTTTCATTCTGAAACCCACTGCTTCCTACTGTGGACATAAATCTTCCCAAACGAGTCATAAATATATAGTAGGGTACGCAGATAGCAATAAATAGTGTATTTGTTGGAGGCAATTGTCAGTTGTAGATTTATTGTGCTGGTTAATGTTTGATTGACTCTAAATAAACTGCAGTGTTAGACTGTAATGAAACAACACTCTGGCTTGCTGATGTATTTTTAAAGAGCTCATATTATGCACATTTACAAGCTCATAATTTTGTTTTTGGGCTCTACTGCAATATGTTTAATGTTTAAAACAACATATTTTTCTCAAACAAGTGCATTGCTGCTGCATCTTTTCCCACCCTCTGTCTGATAATGCTGTTTTAGTCCTGTTTCCTGAACCTGAAAATCCACCGGCAGATTTCAAAGGCATAGGCTTTTTTTTAAACAAAAAAATTAATAATAAATTGCTATAATTACACCATTTATCAGAGCCAAAACCTGGAACACAAAATTCATCAGATTTTCAACTTTCTGGCAGTCGTTAAACTACTGATCTATGACGTGCTGTTCCGTTGGGAAACTTTACCAAATTAAAGCCTAAAACCGAGATATTCCATCAAAATCACTTTTTTTTTCTACGTATCATTTTAAAAAAAAATTGCCAAAAATACACATTGTAATGTAACCAGATTGTGTAAAAAGCTAAAATAAATAAATGCATTGCTGTTGACATAATCTTTTGGCCAGCATATCTGCAATCATATGATACAAAATCTTTATTTTTTCAGTTGTACTGTGGCAAACGCAGACTGGAGATGTGTGTGGTACAATATGTATAGTTTGTAAAGCCACATTTTTTTCTAGTGTTTTTGTGGACACTTGTGCAAAAATGTTGTAGATGTTAATTCCTGTTGGGTTTTTTTGTTTTTTGTTTTTTTCATTTTTAAAAAAAAATTTAATCAAAGAAATTAAACCTTTTTTATGGTATAATTTATTTGACCTTCATTTAACCAGATAAAAGACCCATTGAGATGGAAACCTCTTTCACAGGGGTGACCTGGCCAAGAAAGGCAGCAGCACACATCCACAAATAAACACAATAAAACAATCACAAAATAAACATTAAATTAAAGCCGCAAGCGGCGATGGACGGGTCCTCGCCCTACGCTTGTCGGCCTTTGCGCATGGCGGGGTGTGGGGCAAACCTGCTCCGGGCAGGACTGTGATCCGGCATGTGGAGTTTGGGGCAGATCGGAGCAAGTGTGGCCTAGTTACGAGCCACTTCCTGTTTAGTGGCGAGCTGCGGAGGCGTGCCGCCATTTCCAAACCGGGCCTCAGCGGAGCATTTGAAGAAGTTTGAGTCACCATGTCATGTAGTTTGTGCTCACCAAATGTTAGGTGTGTACGACGGACCCCCTCGGAGGAGTTCGATTTTGAAAATGGCCAAAAATTGCCATTTTTGAGCAAAAATGGCCCGGCATGGTCGCGGTTTATCCAACATGGCGGATTTCCTGTTGGGTTTACAGAAACATGCCAATGAACTTTTTTGTGCATCACAAGTTGCTACACATGTGTGGTGAATGTCGTAGTTGTAGGTGAAATGTAGCCACAATGGGACTCTGTTGAAATATTGTATGGGGCACAGTTGAGCCGTGTTGCATTTTAGAGCTTGGAGCGGAGAGATATTTTTATTTGTGCCGACCAGCTCTATATGCCTCACAAATTGCGTAGCTGTAGGTCAAACGTGCTTCCGATAGGACTTCATTGAAATTTTCAAGGTGGCGCTGTGGAGCCATTTTGGCAGTGACATGTCCAAGTCCATTAAAATATAAAATTTTTCGCCGGTCCTGATGTGCGTGGCGATTTTGGTGAGTTTTAGAGCATGTTTGGACCCTCAAAATCGCATTTCAAAAGTCGATAAAATAACCATAAATAAAAATAAATAATAATAATAACAAAAATAATAATTACAACGGTTAAAATAGGGTCCTTGCGCTGGTGTGCTCGGACCCTAAAAAGTCATACTATAGCATATCGTTTTTGTCAAAAAATCTCACGTTCCAGAATGTCCTCAAAACCTGTCAGGATGTAGTATATAGTGGGAAAAGTGTCCTGAATGTGTTTAAAGACAGCTTAGGAAGGTACTTC